TTGGCAGGCCTTTCCGGGTTGAATGCCAGAACGAGGAATTGCTAGTCTGGCCTGCGCGCGCAGACACAGACTGGAACAGCAGGGCATTGCCGGCAGCAACTAGCTTGAGCTCGCTGAAGGTGCTTTGGGGTAGCCCCCACAAGGGTTTGTCACCTTGCAGAGGGCCCGTGTGTCCCTTGCAGTAAGCCTTTTCTCGCGCTCGGCGTCACAAGGTGTCTCTGCAAAGGCACCTGCAAAGCGCCCAGCCCGGGCCAAGCCTAGCAACCGCTCAACATTTCTGCGGATTGCGTAATCCTCGCCGCGCGCTATTGAGGGTAGGGCCTTGATCCAAGAGCGCAAGCTGTCTTCGTGGTACTCAGGACACCCCGTGGGTCGCGCCGGAACTGCGCACGTTTGACAAGAAGGCGCTTCGTCTTCTGTGGCCGCGCAGCCATTCAGGAGGGGCATGCGTAGGGTACACGAAGGCAGTGACTCTTCCAAGCGCACACAGTAGTTCCTTCAACATCTTTCGGGGCAGTAAGTAAGGCTCGTCAAGCACAAGGTTGGCGTCCTGATCGTTGCGCGCTCTGGCCCTCATCTTCATCTTGACGAGAGTATCCCTGAGCGCGTGTGAACTTCCAGCCCTTGATGATACTGCAACTGAAGAAACGGGTTCTTCGTCATCACCTTTGTTGATCAGATATTTGGAGTCGTTGTTGGCGACAATCACGGGGGCCTCCTTGAACTTCGGCTCCTTGAGGCGAGGATCCGCTGGGTCGGAAACGACCCGTCGCCGAGGGCCCGCTCCTCCAAGAACAGCTCGCAGCCCCTCACCGGCAGCCCGTGGAGATATCCCCAGTTGGCTTCTGAGAGATGCCCGGTCCGGAGCTCGTCCACAACCTCGTTCCACCACGGGTCTTTGTCTCTCGCGCTTGAAGAGCGCCGCCTCAGAAGAGCTCCTTGCCGCGTTCTGCCAGACCGTCTGGATCCTCAGATCACGGGCGCCGGCTGGTTGGGACGTTCGCAAGATCGGCCCCCGTTGGCGGAGGCAGTTGTAGAATCCTGGCAAAGGGCTTGGACGTTTTGCGCAGCGGGTCCATCTTCCAGGCCGCGGCGTCCGGCACGGCGCTGCGGAGATACTGCTCCACCTGGGCGAGAAGGCGTGCGTTGACCATGCTGATCTCATCGATCACCAGCCAGCGCCAGAGTCTCCTTCGCTTGGCCGCGGCTTTCCTCAGCCCGCGCTCAATGGGGTCGCCCCAGTCGGCGCTGACGCCGCAGGCGTTGTGGATGGTCTTCCCCTTCATGTGGGATTTCCCGTGGAGCAGCCACACCAGTGGCTTGTCGGTCTTCAAGGTTGGCTCTTCTGGGGCGAGCATGCCGCACTGGATCAAGACGCTTCCTGTTTTGTTTGGAGTTCAAGTTGGCCTTGATGCCATCAACCCAGCCAAGCTCCCTCGATGCGCCGCCCGCCTTCCTCCTCGGCTGGCTCATCTTGGCCGGCAGCGCCCTTATCAGCACCCGATCTTGAACGTATCTCATGGACCCTGTTTCTGGAAACAATACCCAGAATCCACAAGTTTGGTCGGTGACGATGTGTTCGAGAAGGACATGGCTGACTCCGAAAACACTTCCAAGTTGGTTCAGAAGCTAAGAACATCATGTTCATCAGAATATTGCCATTGATGAACTTGGGGAGCCTCAGCCGGAACAGACAGAAACCACGCATATGGTTCAAGATGTTTGGGAAGGAAAGCAACGGTGGGCAGACGCACGACCCTGCACGTGTACGAAGTGAAGATTGCCTCGGAGACTCCTTGGCGAAGCACTCAGCCAAGCAGATGAATTGAGCACGGAAGTTCTTTGCTGGCAACCTCTTGCGTGTTGCCGCACGCCCTTTCGCGCAATGTTGCAGATGATGGGGTGTTTCCTGTTGAGTGGCCTGCGCGCAACACACGCTCCAGGCATCATCGCATTTCCAGGCGTCGGACGGGCAGGAGTATACCGCGCCGCCGAGTTCACTAATTTTTGAACGCTGGCCATTGCGCTTGACCACGCATGAAACTCAAGAGGTTCGCGCCTGCGTCCGCAGCCAGTTTGACTACTCAAACAATTTCGACCTTTGCGGTCTTCAGGGCAATCTTGCTACAACGACACCGCTCACTTCGATGATTTGCAAGGCACTCCCAAGAAAGAGATGGACGAAGAAAAGGTGGCTGGGGAGACAAACCAGACTCATCAGGGTGTTGCAAGACCGAGAACGAGCAAAAAGTGGAGATTGAAGCGCGCGTGGGTGAGAAGCCTCAACATCTCCGTTCGGCGCCGAAGAAGCCATGCCAGGCCAGAAGCTCTCTGAGGATTCCGAATCAGCAACTGTTCCTCCTCAGGCTGAAAGGCCGCCTTTTCAGAAAAGATCGACCGGCACGACTGACCACATCAGATCGCTGATGCTCGAGGAAGGCTTCCTCAGGCGCATCAAGGAGTACTATGTCGAGCGCCAGAACATCAATCACCTGGACCCAAGTTTCAAATTCAGTTTCGACCATCATCGACGCTCAGCACGCTCACCGCTCATCTCGGCAACCTGACAAAGGATCCAAGCTTGGACATTCAGGAAATTATGCATCAACGCGGCCGACGCTGAATCGCGATGATGCCGCGAAGAATGAGAAAACGACTGATCTTCAAGGGCATAGTTCTGAAGGCATGGGGAACAAGAGCGATTGCATGTTTCGTCCGGGCAATAGATCATCGCGTGTAATTAGAACTTCTTGCGCGACTGAGAACCACATTCGGCGTTTGAGAACACAGAGTATCAGACTGTCTCGCGTCCGTTCTTGTTCGCAAAGAGCTTCCAAGTGTCGCAGCTCCCTCCAAGAACTTCCATGATCGAACATTGAGATCGTAAGAAGGAGGGTATCCATAGGGTTAATGGGAGTATCCAAGCATGGATGACTTTGAGGAGCAACATGTCAATGGAAACAATTGGAATATTCCATGTCCGTCCCAGTCAAGCCGGACGGATGGGAGCAGTGGAAGAAGAATTGAGAAAGCACATCCCTCCCCTGGAGCCGCCAACATCCATAGCAAGCATCAGCAGGTCTGCCGTCCAGATCACGGACTCATCACATCAGCCAGTCTACAAACGCAAGAGACCTGGAGCAACTTCAGCCCAGCAGGAAATCATTGGCCATGTCCTGTGCACCAAGAAAGGATCAGGCTGCGACAGGATCTTCCCTGACTGTATGGTGATTTGTGTCTTCGCGATCAGCAAGACTTCCGGACGCCAGAGGAGGCAAACTCTAAGAAAAACGACGCAAGCATGGTCATTATCGACTGCCAGATATCCTCTGCATAACGTTTCAGGCGCATCATGGACCATGGCGACTGGCATGCGCCCCATTTTGGCTCAAGGCCCTTCCTTTCTCTCTTGTCATTCGCCAGAAAAGGGAGCTCCCAGCAAACCGCTCCACGTGTATCAACAACAACTGTACATATACCAGGGACTTCCAGCACAATTGATCCATCAAACGATTAGTTGCACCCAGTACGGGGCTGCTTGGACAGCATCCCCAGCGTTGCAAGGATCATCCCAAATGATGAAGACAATGCGGGGCAGCTGGCGATGCTAAATGGGTGGGTTAAGCGAAAGGATTGTGCATGAACGGAAATGACGGGAAGTGCAGGGAAGTGAAAGGAAATGAAGGGAACTGAAGGGAAATGCAGGATGAACGGAAGTATTGTAAAATGAAGGGAATGCTTGGAAATCATTGGAGATGAAGAGGAGTGAAGGGAGAAGAAGGGAAATAAAGGGAAAAATGCAAATGATTGGAAATGAAGAAAAGTGAAGGGAAGCAAAAGGAAATGAAGAGAAATGAAAGGAACATCAAGGGAAATGAGGGGAGGCGATTGAATGGAACTGAAATGAAATGAAGGGGCATGAAGGAAATGAAAGGAACTGCAGGGAAGTGAAGGGAAATGAAGGGAAAAGGAAATCAAGGGATATGAAGGAAAATACAGGGAAGTGAAGAAGAAGAAGGGAATAAATGAAGGGAAATGAAGGGAAATGAAGGGAAATGAAGGGAAATGCAGGGAAATGAAGGGAAATGAAGGGAAATGAAGGGAAACAAATGGAATGAAGGTAAACGAATGGAAAGGAAGGGAAACGAATGGACATGAAGAGAAATGAAGGGAAATGAAGGGCAGGAAATGAAGGTAAACGAATGGAAAGGAAGGGAAACAAATAAACATTAAGAAATGAAGGGACATGCAGGGAAGTGGCGAAATGAAGGGAACTGAAGGGAACTGAAGGAAACAAAGAGAAGGAAGAGAGGGGGAAATGAAAGGAAGGGCAGGGTTTCCGGTGGCCGCCTGTTTCGCGTCAGCGTCTGAATCAAAGGACTGCCACTGCATGGACAACGTCCTACATCACAAAAGCGCGAGCGCACCTCTTGCCAGATTTTCCGTTCCTCCTCAAACTCGCGGTGGCCATCCTGCCATCAACAAAGTTCCGGTGATCTTGCCAACAGACCGCAAAGGCATGCTCCAAATCTAAGGCTTTCATCACAAGGCGCTTGCTTCTGTTTTTTGCTCTACGTTGCTTGCTCATGCTTGTTCGCGGTGTGTGCTCTGCCACTTGCCCGCCTTGTTCTTGGTGCGCTCGTGCTGCAGAGCTTCCTCTGAACGAGTCAACCTCAAAATATATCTGATCACTGCCAGACCCTCTCCTACTTCCCGCCAGCTTCCCAATTCCAAGCATGGCAGCCTTCAACAAGAGCTTCTCTGGGAGAACCGAAGGACAAGGAGGCAATGCCACGTGCTTTGCTCTCCTGAACTGCTCTTGGGCCGCCGCTCCTCTTGCAGCATCCGCTTCTCCTGCTTCGCCTGCTCTTGGAGGCTAGAGGCCTGCCGCGCACTCACGGTGAAAGCTGAAAACTTCCTGCGCCTGCCACGGCCAGGACCGTTGGCAGCCAAAGCGTTGCTCTGCTTGTCATTCACAACATGCTCTTGCCACACCGCGCCTCTGTCTTGTGTCCTTCTGGAACTTCTGCTCGAGTCAAGATCTCGCGGCACCGCTCCAGGAACGGAGCCTTGAGCTTTCCCTGGCGTTGTGGACTTCAGTTTCAACTTTCCTTTTATTTCGCTTCTCACTGCTTCTCGTTGCTTCTCGTTGCTTCTCGCTGTTCGCTTTTCGCCTCGGAGCCGAAGGAACCTAGCGATGCCAGGGAGGCGCTGCGCCCGCGCCCGCGCTCGTCGCTGTAGTCCGAGAGCCCCTCCAGCCACTCCGCGGCTCCGAACCTCGACTCACGGACTCCCAGACTCGACAGACTTGACAGACTCGAGTCGAACCAGCCGAAGTTTCAACCAAAGGCTCGAGTCATCTCGAGTCAAAAGACAAAGCTTCGAAGGAAGGCGCCTGGGGCTTTCATTCCTCTCGGTCTCCTCCACCAGAGTGGCCAACACCTTGAGCTCGTCTTCTTTCAAGCCGTCCAGGCCCAAGGAGGCGGCCAAGTTCGCAGCGCTCATGCGACATTCCACACCGTGAAGGCTGTTGCTGTGTTGCTGTTTTGCCAATCAATATCTGCTATGCTGGCTATGCTGTACCAAAGGCTTTCTCGCTGTGCCTGGGACATGAGCTTCGACATCAGGCTCAATGTGCCAACTGGGACACAGAATTGGTCTATGCGGCCAAATAAATATAAGACAAAGCAGTCAGAAGCAGTTCGGGAAAAACTGCCGGCGCTCCACCCTTGCTGATTGACTTGAACACGTCGAAGCCCTTCCTACTTTGTACTGTACACGTCTGGTGCGTCCCGCTCACATTTGAAGCGGCGGTCAGGATGCCGGAAGCTGGTGATACCTTTGCTTTGGAAAGGAACATTGCCCACGCCTCTTTTATCCTCTTTTGACATCTGTGCAGCAGTGCTGCGATCCTTGGCATTGACTGATCATTCAAAGTGTCAAATTCTTCCTACAATTGACTCAGACTCTTCATACTGCGATGCCAGGGATGTTTCAAGGCATTGCAAAGAGTCGATATGATCCACAAGGATCCGCATGCATCAGGAAGCTGTCGGAGACACAGTTGTATGAGGTGTCATGGCATGAAATCGCAGGGCATGTTCGGTAAGTCTCCGTTGTCACCAGTCAGCCGCCTGACATTTCAACGCAGCGCTGCTCCACCGATACGGAGCCACCGGATTTGAGCGCTTGCCCACATCCGGGTGCGTGTGCCAGCATGGGCTGAGGTCGGGCCAGAATATGCCCGACACCAGGTGGGCAATTCAGCCGGAGTCCTGCTATGTACAAAAGCTGATTCGCTCCAGCTCTGGTCCAGCGGTCAAGCATCTTAGCTTCGGGAGAAATCCAGATTGCATTGTGATGCACACGGGCCTCCACACGATGAACAAAGCAGAACAAAGAAACAAGACTACTGAGTGACTACTGCAGGGTTGGGGCACTCCGAGATTTGCTTGCGTGAAGGCCGACGTGGGCTCTCAGAGAATTCTTGCCCTGCCGATCCAATAGCTTTGGACCGGCCGGGGGCAGCATGGATATCTAAGATGTTTAATCAATGAGCATTCAACCATCTCAACACTTCTCATGAGACGTCCCAATGTGACTGCTTCTGAAACAACATATCATGATCCTGCCCAGTCTTGGGGAGTTTGGGGATCACTCGTGTATCTGGTTTTCAGACATTCTGATCGCATGCCCTAAACCATAAGGGAGATTGCCAAAGCAGATCCTTGCCCTCTGCGCGCGATCTGACTCCGAGCTCACTTGGCTGAGCCGGAGCTGTCGGCATCGTGCACGAGTTGGGGGTCGCCGAGCAGCGCCATGGCCATGTGCTCCGTGTCCTCCGCCAGGAACGGGTTGCCCCGGCGAGTGCGGCGCGCGAAGTTGTGCAGCGCCTCGTGGCACAGCACGGAGTTCAGGGCGCGCTGCGTCATGCGCTTGGTGCCGCAAATGAAGATCTCGGCGGTGGCGTTGCTTTGGCCGCTGGTCATGGCAAGACATTCATCCCATTTGTCGATCTTCCGGTGCCGATCGAAGCGAGCACGGCTCAGCCGTTCCCTTGCAAAGTCCCAGTGGAACCGCAGCTCCTCCCCTGAGGCAATGCAGAAAGCCTTGACCACCGCGCTGCTCGCGCCTTGCGCTTCCTCCCGCGCCAGAAACCGCGCGACTTCCTTCTTGGCGGTCTGCAGCATGCTCATCGTGGGAATTCCCTGGGATCTGCCCGGGATTTTGGCCTCATGCAGTATGCAAAATATGCAGTATCACGCAGTCACATGCAGTCACATGCGGTCACATGCAGTCACAGCGCAGAGCCTTGAGGATCGGCTTCTTGAACTTGTGCATGACGGCAAAAATCTCCGCGGGGCTCATCATGGCTGCTGGAAGCACGTCAGCCAGTGCCTGCCAATCCCCTCTCAAGCTATAGGAGCCGTATTCAATTTATAGGCCTCTGCCGTGGCTGGTGCTCTGTACAAACTGCAGTCGCCTCTGCCACGTCCGAGTCCGATAAGGTGATGGCCTGGTCTGTGACCTCCTTGACCGTCCTGAGCCGTGGCCGCTCGAATGGCGAGGCGCTTCACGCTGGCCTTCCGCGCCGCGGGACGGCCTTGAGTCGACATCGTGTTCATGCGTCACTTTGAATCCCTATATATATATATATATTATATATACGCATTACTTCTTTTCATACTTCTTTTGTCTTCGCACCTTATTCAAACGTGGCTGAACCCAGCCTTGCGCTTGGAGCCAGAGGCTTGCCGTGGCCGCGCCATGACCCCGAACTTCACGGCTGCGGGCTTGGACGGCTGGCATCTCACTCCTTACACCTTCTGATGCCTGGCACCCTCTGACACTCGGCATTGTGCACCTTGACCAGCCGTGTGACAAAGACTTGTCCGACTCGTCAGCATGAAAATCTGGTCAGATTAGATTGCCATTCACGGTATCAACACGCCTTTTCGTCTCAGACCGAGCTCCCAGCACTCAATGAAGGGATGGACAAATCTGAGAAGCGAAAGCAACTCGGAGTGTGTGAGTGTGTCAAAGTCTGAGGCTTGGACTCTCTGGGTGGAGGAATCTCGAAAGTCCTCACAGTCACACCTGAAATTTGCAAAACGGTGTCGTGTGGTGACCGTTGCACACCGCACGCGCGCACGCGCCTGCGTCTTCCAAGGCTCGGCGGAAGGTGCAGCGGTCGCAGCTGTCCGAGTGCGTGATGCTCGGCGCCGCGTCTTTGCTCGGTGCGCTATAGCCGCCTACAGCAAATGCTTCGGACTTCTGCCTTCCCAAATTTACGGCAAAACCAGGGAAAGGCAAATCGGCTCGAAGCTGACTGGCCTACGCAGAAGTTTTGTTGGTGCTTGTGCGCCACGATGCATCCTGGGACCCCGGCATTGTGATTTGCAACATTTTGCAACCCAACTGCAAGCCTTGCAGGTCAGGGCAAAGAGGAGGGCCTTCCAAGCCAAAGATCGCCTTCAGCAGAGTCAGAAAGCTCTGCTGGGAGTGCCTCATGGAAAGGATCTTCAAAAGCCGAACATGCAGAATCATGCAGAAGATCAAAAGCCGAACGGCGCTGGAAACTGGAGATTCAGAAACTGGCAAGCAATGACAAGAGTGGCAAGCGTAGCCAACGCGAAAGGTCGACTCTTGGTGAAAGGCACTGACAAACAACAGGGTCGATGGCCAGGACCACGCTAGCGCAGCGAAGTGCGTAAGCGGCCCGAGGGTTGGCTCGTGGTGCCGCCCAGTCCAAGCAGCCTCGGCTTCTGCACACTCCCCGATCACAGCTTCGGCTTCTGCTTCCTTTTCTCTGCTTCTGTTTTCTGAATTTGTCTGATCTTGGCTGCTGCCACTTCCGCTTCTGCCACACTTTGACCTTCCTCCATCTAGCTGAGAAACAAAAGGAAGCGTTGCCAGGCGGCCTGCAATCCCCATCAAGCAAATCAAGCAATCGAGCAAATCAAACATTCCAAACCCCCCTTGCATCAAAGCTGCCCAGGCACTTGATCTCTGCCACGTTTGCTGCAATGGACGACAGGATCTTGTCTTCGTATTCAGGCAAGTCAGTAAGAGTCACGCGTGCTCCCAGGCAGGACAGTACCAAACCAACCTCGGACGGACATTGAACTTCACTGGACTGAACTTCACTTTTCGCTTTCCAATCTTTCCAACGGCACAATTGCAAGGAACGTAGCCGCTCCCGCAGCCCAGCTCCACGACGGAGCGTTGGCCTCACTCTGACGGCCGAGATCCTTTGCTTTGCAGCTGAGGCCAGAGCGCCACAACTCGGCGGGCACCGACGTGGCCTGTCAATATGGCCACTGGGCCACATGGGCTGGGTCAAGCTTGGTCCATTGAGTCCATTGGTTTGCTCTGAGGCGCGATGGCACCAAACACCACGGCAGATTCTGAGGCAGGAAGGCCCGCCTGCCAGGGGTCGCAAAGCGCCAAGCGTGGAAGCCACACTGACCATGAGAGACCTTCATCCTTTTCTCCTCTCTGGCAAGGCGATAGAACGTATCGACTGGAAGTTGCATCTGGAAGTCGTATCTCTCAGGCCGGCGTCGCCTTGGGCCATTTCTGGCCAGGCACCAAAGGCTCTCCCGGCTCTCCCGGCTCTCCCGGCTCTCAGGCCGTCCAGTGCGGCACAGGCCACCACGGGGTTTCGGCCCGACGGCACGCCCGGAACGCCACTGCGACGCTCGCTCGCGGCTCAGGCCAAAGCAAAAAGCAAAACCTCACGAGTCGAATGGAGCTTGGGCCATTGGGGGCCAGTGCCAGTGCCAGTGCTTGGAGAAAACGTCTGCGAGCTAGAGACACAACCCGTAGCGTGACCACGTTGCCAGCACGCAGGCTTTTGACTTGCTGTAGCACATCTGGGACAATGGAACGATGATCCGTCTGCTTTGGTCTTTGCAAAGCGCCGCGGCAAATGACCATCCGATCTGCCAAGATTCGCCAGCCTTCGGGGACCGACACCGCTGTGAGGAGCTTCTCCTTGGACTCCTCGTCCAGCTCCACGCCGGAGGTTTCCACTTCTCCGACGGCCTCGGCGCTTTCACCATGGTTTGGGCTTCCACCATTGCCGTCCAATGCTGCAAATTCATGTCTCAGGTCCGAACACCCAGTCTGCCGAGGCTGCTGAATTCTGAGTCAAAGGAGGCACAGCAACAGCATGTCCCGTGGCAAATGGGTTGAGAAGCAACCTGCTACAGCAACCTGCTAATGTAGGAAATGTTCCTGCTACAGTACATTTTCTGCATTGTGCCGCTGGGTCAAACTCGCCCAGAAAGACTATGACATGACGAGCTGATACGAGCAACGGGTGGCTTTCTTTTGCTCGCACCGCTGTCTCCTGCTTCGACCCTTTCGTTTCGATCGGCCAAGGAAGTGAGACGTGACATGTTTCGATCTTGGTGCAATTTTTAGCACCAAAACACGAACACAGCCACCATTTGGCGGCGTGGATGTCAACTTTGAACGCATCCAAGTTGCGATTTCTTGAACAGTTTCCCTATGATATGGTTGGAAGCCAAAAATTATCACCTGGGCTCACTCCATCTCACCAAGCTGGAAACCCGCATGTTTCGAAGGCATGGACACTCGGCAGCTACTAACGAAATCGAAGTTCCACTCGAAGTCCTCAAACTCCTAAGGGTCATTCCAAAGGCTTTTGGTCGGTGAGAGAAAGCTAAAAAAGGGCCATCCAACAATCGGGGGTGAGCTATGTGTATAGATATGTACGGATGGGTGTGTGTGTGCGTGTATGTGTGATTTTTGTTTCAAAGATACAACACATTTCTGAACCAAAAACTCTGAATCCACCAATTTCCCTTTGCAGCTGAAGCGGCCATCCAGAAGCAGCCATCATCGGTGGCTCTCGGAAAGCGATGTTTGCTGTTGGGAACTTTCACCCGCAAGGCCTTGCTGATGCCTGGGTTCTGTTTCCATTCCGAGCTCTCATCACTCCAAGGCCCTTGCCACTCAGCATGGCCTTTCGGGTTCCTCAACTGAACCAACTTCACTCCTTCCACCTGCGGCACTCAGTGGATGTGGTCAGCCTCTTGATTTGACATGCTTGCAACATCAACAGAAGTCCAACATGTCTACCCGCCTCGACACAATGGAGGAGCGAATATGCGTGCGTGACGGTTAAGTTGTCGTAGAGTTGCGTATTTTTGTTGGTTTTGGACACCCCGCCAGCGATCATCATGTAGTTGGCACGATCGTTCTCCAAAAGTGTGGCCCAAAAGTCCTGTGTGTGAAAACTGGGCTGAGGCAGCGCAAAACCCGCTTTACAAATCCAATCTCGAATGGCCACAGATCTTGGAACACTTTGAAAAAAGATCATCAGAGTTAGCCAAGTGATGAGGCAAAGCCAAGCATCTTCGATTTCTGGGCGTCCGTCGGTATCTTGGTGCCGCTGTCGTTTTGTTGTCCGGGTGGCCACTCGGTGGCCTCGCACATAGTAGGAGAACCAACCTGGCAGTGAACATTGAAATCGTTATTCGTCCGAGCTCGAACCGTTCGTGTATACAGCATTCGTTTTGAGTTGACTCTAGACGCTTTGCAAGGAACAAATGGGCACACAAACTCAGGCACTTGAAAACAACTACCGGACCTACTGTCAATCACAAGCAATACGACTTGGATTGCGCTACCAGTAGTAGCTGGGGCAGCCACTACGACATGGTCTGTAGCTGCCCAAGCAAGAAGAGACAACATTAACACCAACATCAAGCCTTCACGTCCCTGTTTCACAACTCAAACCCGGCCACTTCCGTTTAGGAAAATGATCTGAACAAGTGGCCCAAACTCTCTCTCTCTCTCGTTAAAATAAGTCGATACTTTACTACAAGTGCAAATGTTGTTCTTGTTGCTGTCACAAACACAAATGTAGTTTCCCAGCATGCACTCTTTTCCTTGTAGACTCAAGGCCTGCGGTCGGGTAGTGTACATCATGCATGTACAAGGGACAAGTAGTACAGCATGATATTTGACACGGCCCCTTGGTTAAAAGAGCCTGTGGTGTCTTTTCAACCATATCCAGAAAGGGGAAAAAGTGCAAAGGGCTCAAAGTAGTTTTGACTGCAAAAGGATCGAAAGTAGTATAACTACAACTCTGCTGGCTGTAGTCCGCTGACTCTCAAAGATCAAAAAAGCTGTAGTACGTACAGGCTGCTCTCAGTAGCTCTCCTGTTCAGGCCTCAGTAGTGGTACTGAGTGGAGTTCATGAGATACATCCTGATGTAGTTTGGACCTGGAGGTCCAAAGTTGTAGTGAAGCTGTGGTGCTGCTTCACTGATGTAGCATCACCTGTAGTTAGGTGTGCTTAGTCCAATGCTGGACTCTGTAGCCTTGTTTCTGACCAGTGCGGTGGTCAAGGCTGGCGTAGTGGTTGGTAGTGAAGGTAGTAAGGAAGTCAGGGCCTCCTCGAAGACAAGTGTAGTTGATCTCTGGAGGTGGGAGTGGTTGTTGAAATGTAGTGAGGAGTTTGTGTAGTAGTAGTTTGTGTTGCATGGGAAGATTTGTGGCAGTGAGTAGCGCGAAGCCGTAGTACGTGGAACTCTTGTGCATGATGGTGTTGATTGCTTTGTAGTGGTGATCCTGTAGTTGTTGCGGTTGGTCGTAGTAGCTGAGTAGTTCAGGAAGGTGAAGAGGCATGTGGCAGTTCCAGATGTAGTTGTTGGACAGGTTGAAGGTGGTGGTGATCTGGTTCGTGTCGTAGTTGATCTTGTGAAGTCGTTGGGGTAGTTGCCGAGTGGGTAGGTGATGTTGGCCAATGACTGACACCGTGTGACTCAAGTAGTCACGCGAAAAGTTGATGAGGTGGCCGCTGCTGATGTAGTGTAACAAGATTTCTTGGGGGAGATGAAGTCGAACGATGATCATGGAGTTGGTGTGTGAAGTGGTGAGGTGTAGGGAAGTCAAGTTGTAGTAAAAGAAGTTGAACGCTTCTGAAAAGCGTAGGCTGAGTGGTAGTGAATCGTAGAGGGGCATTCGTAGGTCTGATGGCAGGTTGTGGATTGGCCGTTGGTAGTCGAGGTCTGGCACTGGCGCGGTCTGCTGTTGGCTGAGTGGTTGATACTCCTCCAAGGTCAGCCCCACATAGACCTCAGCGTAGTTTTGTCCCTGATCCACAGTTGGAGTGCGAATACTGTTGTGCTCGACAGTAGTAAGGTGGTTCAGGATGTCATCGGGCCTGTAGAATGGTGCAGTGGTCGGTAGTTGGTGGTTGAAGTGGTAGTTGAGGGCATTGTAGGCCTCAGGCGGCGGAGGTGCCACAGAGACCATGCTGCTGGAATCTGTAGTGGATGGTTGGTTTGGTGGTGTCGAAACTCGGTCAGGTGTAGTAGTACCAATCTGCTGTGCTGGCACAGTAGTCTCAGGCGCGGTCGTAGTCGCATCCATGGGTCCAGACATTGCTGGTAGTGAGATCAAGCAAACGAGTTGAGACGGGGCAAAGTAGTGAGCCAAATGGTAGCTCACAAAAACACATGCGGGAATGTAGTAAAACAAAACAACAGGAAATGTTGTCCCAAGCCGCCAAAAGCCGCCAAACGTGTAAGTGCAAGTTACTGGTGGTTACAATTACTGTGACTTGTAGTTACTGTTACTGTTACTTACATGCAAGTAGTTACATATGGCCATATACAAACTGTTGCGGTTGATGTGAAACAGTTGTTGTTCGTAGTGCTAAACGCGTATGCCAATGCTCTGTATGAGCCTCGTAGGTTGAGCTGCTGCAAATGTTGGTTTCAAGTAGGAAGTTCCTGAGGTGTAGCCCCTCATTAACTCCTGTGCATATTGCATAAAGTTCTGATTCTGCTGAGGTTAGTGCTATTGTAGCCTGTGTTCTGCTGCCGAACGCAACTGTAGTTCCAAGGAAGTGGATGTTGAAACCTGAAGTGGACTTCCTGGTAGTAGGGCATCCTGCCCAGTCGGCATCGACATGAACGTCGAGATCCAGGATGTTGTTGGTGTTTGCTCTGAGTGTTGTTGTTGGTTCTATGGTGAATTTGTAGTGCTTGGTGCCGTGCAAGTAGCGTAGTAGATGTTTGACTCTCTTTTGTGAAAGTTCTGTAGGTGCTGTGAGGTCTCGTGCTAGTTCTTTTGTGGAGTATGCAATGTCTGGTCGTGTGTATGCGAACCATTGAAGTTTGCCAACAATCCTTCTGTACCTTTTGTGTCGTTCGTGGTCAAGTAGTGCTTCATCTTCTATTGTTGGTTTGTAGTGTGCAATTCCTGGAGCGCTCACTGAGTTGCAGTTGTTCATTCCAGACTCCTCGATCATGTTGTCGACGTAGGAGTCCTTTAGTCCAAGATTGCAGTAGTTGCCAAAGTGGTCGAGGTTTCTTCCAAGAAATTGTTGTGATTTGCCAGGCACGAGGTAGCCAATGTGCTTGAGTAGTACCTGCTTCTGGGTGGCCTCGAAGGTGGAGTCGACAGTAGTCTTGTCACCAAGTACCAAGAGGTCATCCACGTAGACCATGATGTAGCAGTCGCGAGTCGCATTGGTGTAGACGTTAGGTTCTGACTTTAGTCTTACAAAGCTGAGCTTTTGTAACACTTCAGCCAGGTAGTCCTGCCATGCTTTTGGTGAACTGCGTAGTCCATACATGGCTTTCTTTAGTCGCCAGATTTTGTCCTGTTGTGGACAAAGTTCTTTAGGCGGCCAAAGGTAGACGTCACGTTGTTTACCGTCGTGGTGTTTTGCGATGGGTGCGTGTAGAAATGCTGTAGAGACGTCGCCTAGTCGCGCTATCCAGTTTGGTCGTGACATTTGTAGTGCGAGAAGTGTCCGGAGTGTCGTGAACATTGGTGTAGAGGCGTAGACGGAGTCTTCGTCCTCGATCTTCTCTGTGTAGCCTTTTGCGACGATTCGGCTTCGTACTCCTGGTCCTTTCTTTCTGTGTACCCATCTTGTAGGTATCGCTTCTCTGATGACGTTGTCGTCGACGGTAGACACATCTACTTCGTCGTAGACGTCATGTAGCTTCATTTGGTTTGACTCGTGTTTCATTCCTTCCAGTAGTTGTGTTTCGTCGTAACCTTCGTTGTCGAAGATTATGGGTTGGTCTTCTGAGGTGTCGTCGTTTGTGTAGGAGGTGATGGATTTTCCGTTGGGAAGTGTCACTGCGTTAATTTTCTGTCGTAGTGGTGGTGGTTCTTTGGTTGCTTGCTCCGTTGATCTGATTGTAGTGTCCTTTGAGGTCTTCTGTGCTTTAGTTGGTTGCATTACTTCTTCCGGAGTTAAACGTCGTAGTGTTTGTCGAGGCGGTGCTGGTAGTGGTGGATGTTGTCGTCCGGTCGGTGAAGTAGCCATGGGGCTATCTGGTAGTGGTCGTGAAGTTGACGTCGATGTTGACGGAAGGCGTGGAGGTGACGTGGTGCGTTGTTGTTTCGTTGCTGGTTCGGCAACGATGTCGTCTGCGATGTTGGTCTGTTGTCCTGCGTCTTGTGTAGGCTGTTTCTGCTGGATTTGCGTATCCAGTAGTGTCGCAAATGACGGATTGTAGATACTACCTTTTGGTGCCCAAGGTGTACCTGATCAGACCTTATTTAGTAGCGCAAGGTCATATTTGAAGTCAGGTTGTAGTCGTCTGACTGCCCTTGCTTTTAGTACGCCTTGTTCTGTTGCGACGTAGCTTTCTCCAGTCTCCGAAACCTTTCCGAGCCATATGCATTTCTGCATACGTAGATCGGCTTTCGGAAGTTTCTTGTGCTGTGGTGGAAGGTAAAGTAGTGTTTCGCCAAATTCGCAAATTGCTCGCTCGTAGTTTCTTCCCCAGCGGCGTTCGAAGCTTGTGTAGCCATCGGAGTGGATGACGTAGCGATTTACAGTCCATGCTGCGTGTCGTACTATCCAAGGTAGTAGACAATGCTTTGTGGACATTGAAATGCTGTAGTTGCTTTCAACTTGCGCTTTGACGACGCGGATTTGTCCGAGAAGTTTTCTATGTAGTCGCTCAACGCTTCCTTGACTGTTGCTGCTGTAGGATGGTGAATGTCGTACAGTCATTGAGCCGACTTTGGATGCTGTTGCTTTTAGTAGTGCATTGAGTGTGTCCTCGTTGTCGCTTTGTAGTATGCCTTGTGTTCTTCCGCATTCAAAGATGAACTTGTAGGTTGTTGATCATGTAGTCCATCATTGATGGTTTGTCCGGAACCAATACCGCCATGCACAGTTGTGTAGTGACATCAACTGCTGTTAAGACTGGTATGGTCTTCGGATCTTGCTGTGATTTGATGTAGGCAAAATCCACTTGGATGATGGGTTGTCGTGATTGTTGTTTCTTGTAGTTGTCCTGGCGCCCTTTGCCTTGCACGCAATTTGGACACCAATTTCTGTATGGTAGGTGTGTCAAGTTGTGCTCTGCTATTTGTTGTGGAGTTGGTTGTTGAGGTTGTCGGAGTCCTCTTGCTTTGTGTGCCTCGTGACGTTCGTGGTATTGCTCTTCGTCGTAGTCCTCTTGGAGGTGTTCGTAGTCTTTCTTGATGGTGAACCTTGTTGTGCCTTTCCATTGGAATGGTAGTGCGGCATTGCCCGTGACTGTCCAGTCATCTTTGCGTTGTGAGACTTCGCCGAAGCTGTTGTTTGAGATTGTAGTTCGGAAGGGTTCGAGAGTGTTGATTGATGGGTGTCCTGGTCCATCTCTAGGTGTGAACAATGTGGTTCGTAGTGTGACGTGATGTCTTATCCAGTGTTCACCTTGTCTTTCCCAGTAGTCTTGGTTGTCTTCTTGCGCCGTTGGTGGTCGATGCGTCGTTGGTTTTGCTTGCGTAGTGTCCAATTCTATGGATGGAGCGGCTTTGGGTCTCCATACCTTTGGTGGAGTTCGTAATTGTAGTTTTGGTTTTGTCGTAGGTGTCTCTGTTGTAGGTTGTGGCGCTGAGCTTTGTCGTGGTGGTGTTGTCTTTGTAGTCAGCCTATGTGTAGATGTGACTTTTCTTCGGAATCTGGTTTCTCCAGTCCAGTCATCACCTTCAAGTCTTCTTTGTAGTTCCTGTTTGGAAAGTTGTTTGGTGTTCTCTTGTAGTTGCTCTTGTTTTTGCCCGTCTATTGATGATGGTGAGTCGCCAATCATCTAGTTGTTCTTCTGGTGTTGGGCATCCGTTGTTGTGTGGTGTGAACAATGCTTTGCGTGGTCGTTTGTGGGCTCGGATGGCGTAGTCACCATCGAGTTTCCAGTAGCCAGTGTTTCCACCAAGGATTCGTCTTAGTCCTTGGTCTGTGTGAGTTAGTGGTGCAATTTGTTCTTGTCGTTGTTGTTGTTTTGTCTCATGTGCAGGCTGGATTACAGCAATGGATTTTCCATTGTCTGTAGTCATTGGGTAGATGTCGTGTCCTGTAGGTATGTTTAGAAAAGTATTGAGTGTCGAATAAGCTGCGCTTGTTGTTGTCCATGTGAGATAGTGCAGTGTCTCGGGTTGAGGTCCAGTCCATATCCTCTATCAAGTAGTCTTGATGCACTGAGGATGGGTTACTTCACATCACAGACGTAGTAGGGTATCATGATCCTGAGGTTGTCCTGCTCGTAGGGAACGTGCTTGATGCCGTAGACGGGGATCTTCTTGTTGGTCACAGTGTAGAGTTGTGGAACTGATTCTCCACAAGGTCGTAGTGGAAGATCCGGCGCGTAGTCCTTTGGGCAAACATGTGTAGACGCTCCTGAGTCAATCAGTAAGTGGTGGTAGGAATTGAAGTTGGAGTGCATAATGTAGTGAGTGATGTTGTTGTCAAGTTTTCCTCGTTTCTGTTGTTGTGTTGCTGCTGCAATGTTGAGGTGTAGTTGAGGTCTGTCCTCTTGTAGGTACTGTTGATAATTGGTGCTGTGGTCATTCCATGATGTTGTATGAGTTGCTCTTTTCCCAAGTAGTGATTTGGGTTTGTGCTTACATTGTAGCGGTCTTCCTTGTCTGATGTGTCCTATGGTGAGGTGCGACTCGTTGATGCCTCCGATGTAGTTTGCTTCACCTTCATGACTGTAGCCATTCCAGTCCCAGCTGTTGTCGTTCCAGTCGTAGTCGTTCCAACTCTCCTCCATGTAGTTCACATCATGTCCATGTCCTTCTTCTCCTTCGTAGTACCAATCCGAAGTGTCGCGCATGTCTTGAGGTAGTTCCTCATTGTTGTCCTGAGTTTCTTGTTCTTGCTCAGGATGTTGTAGTTCTTCTCCTTCTCCGATGTGCCAAACCGGCACTCTGCAATCCTGCGCCCAATGGCCAGGTTTGCCACATCTGTGGCATGTCATGTAGTTGCTGTTTCCTTTTGCTTTTGATTTGCCGTAGTTGCTTTGGCCTTTGTAGCCTTTGCTTGATCCGTAGCCTTTGGATCCGTAGCCTTTTCCTTTTCCTTCGTTGTAGCCATTCTTGTTGTATCCTCCTTTGTTACCTTTGTCAAATCCTTTGTAGTGGCCTTTGCTTCTGTACGTGCCTTTTCCTTTGTTTCCTTTGTAGGATCCTTTGCCTCCATATTTGCTTTTGCCTTTGTAGTTTCTTCCTTTCCTCCAAATGTTGCCCACGTCCATGGGTGCTGTTCCACCATTGTAGTTTGCGCAAACCGCTGAGCTCGCTCTTGAGAATGCATCGTTGTAGTTCGTGATCTGTCCAGCACGTAGTTGGAGATGTTGTTGAAGTGCTCCTTTGGTCTTGTTGAGTAGCATTGCAATCTTCACTCCATCTGGTACTCCTGCGCCGTTGTCTTTCTCGTAGCGGTTGATGTCATACTCCTCCAAATTGTGCTTCAATGAATGTAGGTTCCAGTAGTTTGGTGAGGTAGCCAACACTGCGTGTTCCTACTGGTAGGCTGAACCTGTTGTGCAAAAGCCGTAGTGTTTCACATCCATTGGCATTGTAGCGGTTTTGTCTGACCACTGTAGCTGCTGCACCTTGGCAGATGTTGATTCGGATGTAGTGTAGATCTCGTGAGAGGTCTACTGCTTTTGTTGCTTGTGTAGGGTCGCGTACGTGGGCTCTGATGTCTGCATCTTCAATTTGTCTTGTAGCTGCTTGTGCTAGTTGTAGTGCCATGTCGAAGTCTCGGTCGATGAGTCCGAGGTATGCTTGCAGTTTGAACAGCCACTCTTCGTACTGTGAGTAGTCACCAGTGAAGAGCGGTGGTGGCAGTTTGTATTTGTGTAGCCTTTGGACGTCTTCCTGCTCCTGTGTTGTTCCCGTAGTTGTGGCTCCTATTGTCTCCTCTGCTGTGGGCCCGTCGTCTGCTCCTGTAGTTGGTTGCGCTGATGCTGCTGCTGGTTCTCCTGACATGTCGTAGTAGGTTGACTGTGCAGTTGTAGTACTTACTGCTGTTACTGGAGCTCCCCTATGCTTAGCATCTCAGCTCCGCTACCACGTTAAAATAAGTCGATACTTTACTACAAGTGCAAATGTTGTTCTTGCTGTCACAAACACAAATGTAGTTTCCCAGCATGCATTCTTTTCCTTGTAGACTCAAGGCCTGCGGTCGGGTAGTGTACATCATGCATGTACAAGGGACAAGTAGTACAGCATGATATTTGACATCTCTTTCTCCCTCTCTCTCTCCTTTTCTATATATTCTACTAGATTCTTTATAATATATATATACATATACATTTATATCATACGTATTGTTTGTTATTTATTTATTTTATTTCTAGTTTTATATATCTATGTTTTTTGGGTTGTTTTTTCTTTTTCTTTTTTCGTATGATTTCTTTCTTTTTCTCTTTCTGTTTCCTCCTCGCCTTCGTCTGGGCCATCGCCTTCGATCTTTTTGAAGCGAATCCAGCTGCGCTTGCGCTCCAGTTCCTGGACCTGGCACCCAATGCTCACGATTGAAAAACTCTAAAGATGTTTTCAGATATCTATCTAAAATATCTATGTAAAAAAAACAGATATACTAAAATATAATCTATGTAATATGTTATTCTACATCTTTATACGTGGTTTATCCAGTACCAGTTTCGAGTGCTGGGTCTCACCATGTCCCATCTTGGTATGTCCCCACCTGAGCTCCTTCTGCCAGTCGTCCTGAGCTCTCTGCCACTTTGACGCCTCCCTTCAGGATGCGCCATGTCGGTTGCTCAGCAGCTTTGCCAGACGGAACAAAATAAAAGCAGCTTTCAAATTCACCTCAGGGATGCATGGGATCGGAGTCACGAAATACGGATGAACATATTTGTATATATATATACATGGGCATAGTCTGTTCAAGTGCCCTTTACAGTGTTTTAGAACGATGAGGCTTTAGAAATGCTGTGTTTTGCAGGGTTTTACTATAGTGGCCACGGCTAGTAGAAGTTGTCATCGTATCATAGAAGTTGCCATCGTATCACAACGCCCCCTAATAACGTTCGTGTTTAACTGCTTCGGAATGAAAAACTATTTTGTTCAGACTGAAGTCGCAAGTACAAAGCAATAAAGATTTTCTGCTGAAAAACAAGACGTCTTCTGCTGCAAACTTGGAATGGACACACCCCCAAAAGACCGATATATAAATATATGTAAAAATACGTGACTATAAACAATACTAAATATGTTCTGTTGGTTTATGTGTTGCCGCGTCTTGTTGCTGGAACGCTCAATTCATTTCTACTCTCATGTTCCGACCTGTGAAGCAAATGAATGCCAGGTTAGGATTGAAGCGATCCAGATTCGCCCATGCGCCGTGCATCTTCGCGAAAGCCTTCTCCAGCAAGGCTCCCCAAATGCCATCGCCCGGACTGATGTCGCAGAAGAAAGGACGGGCAGTCACCAGGAAGCCTTCCTCAAAGCCCTCTAAGCCTCTGTGTACCATACATGGCAAGTAGTCATCGATCTCAATCTCCTTCCACTTCCTGTCTCGATAATCAAAAAGCCGGATGGTGTACTTTCCATCAGGGGATATCTCCTGCAGAGTCTCGGTCTCTTGATCTGAGGTTAGGATGAGTGGGGAGAAATTGAAAGCCAAAAATGTGAGCAACATGCTTAAACATCTGACTGAAAATTCCCTTGGACCCGCCTTGGTCATAAAGATGTTGTTTTTGACAAATCCGTCGAACTCCGAAACACATGCGATCGCTGCGATCAAGCCACAATCGCCCACATTTCCTTGACCTGATGCGACCAAAGGTCCCTCACCAAAGAGCAGTGGTTCTTCATCTGGAGTCAAATTAATGGCCCTGATCCATTCGCATCCTTCATCGAAGTTGGCTCCAAGGCCCTTGGTGATGTATTGGTCGTCTTTCATTTTCTCTCCGATGCTGGAGATGTCATGTGGAAAATCTGGATCTTTCCAACCTCCTTGGTCCGTCACGGCTTTGGGTTCTATGCTGGCAAAGCGGATGGGATGATCCAAAAATCTCCAGGTCGCTCTGTCCGGTGAGAAACCGGCTGTTTCTGCACTCACAATGGGCGTTGTTTTCTCTTTTTTTACTCCGTCAGTATTGCAAGGCCACAATGCCCATTTTTGTTTCTCTTGGTCATATTCAATTCTGACGTTGCAGACTGAGTTATAGTACACAGGACGGCCATCCTTCATCTCTTCTTGCTTCTTGAAGACACCAACGAACTCCTCAACATCCAAGATCTGGATGAATTCGGCTGGTGGGGCTGACAGCGTTTCTGAGGACGTTCTCAAAGTACAAGTCATTTCCGGTTCCTCCACGAAGCCCTTCTTGGCCTTTCGGTAAAGGTCCCAGGTCACCCCTTCACCTCTGTGAGCTGATTTCTTGGTCTTCAAACGGGCGCTGGAATACCCACTGATCTTATGAAAGATGGACCACTGCGACCATTTGCTGCAATAAAAGAGCAGCTGCTGGTTGCTGGCACAGTAGTACAGGGGCCTTTGGCAATGTGATTCGCCTACTTGTTGCACATAATCCCCATTGAGCTTCTTGAAAGAACAGCCAGAGATGGTCAGAGTGATGTCGTGCACCCCACTCATTGCGAGCTGTTGATCGTCTGCAAAAATCCAGCGCACAAACTCCTCCACTTGTAATTCACCATCTCCACTGGCATCAGCAAGCACCAACAAGTTATCAACTTGTTCATCTAAAGTCTCGTCCAAAGATTTCAAGACCTCACTCAATTCCTCCCTGCTGATAGAGCCTGAACCATCAGCATCAAAGCGCTTGAAGGCTTCAAGGACTTCGCTTGCCATGGCACAAATGCTACAAGGCAAACTTAACTGCCTTCGACTTGAAGGAGTTTGTTTAATTTTTGCCTGAGCCACTCTTGCACAGAAGGCAATGCAATGCACAGCACGGTGTGGAATGCATAGCGAGCTATGCAATGGTGAAGGCAATGCATAGCCAATGGGTCAGACGCTGAGCCTCTTTGTGGAGCTGCTCATCATCACGATTTTCACATGGCCTTGGCACATCGGATCCAGCGTCCATGGGCACATAACGTCACATAACGTCACATAACGTCACATAACGTCATGACAGATTCATAATAGTTTCATAACATCTGAAAAAATGAAAAGGGCTGATGCCTGACATGCAAATGAACCTCATGACAACATGGCGTGAACTTATAGCGATATGGATCTGCACACATGTTGCAGGTTGCATCTCGGCTTCTTGATCCTCTTTGTAAGTCCGGCGCTGGCTTCCATGGAGCCCACCTCAAGAGACCCACCGAAACATGACTTTTCAATTTCCGTCATAGCGAGTCACATGACATTTCACCTATCCTCTAGCGATTCCAACACAAAGAAAGAAACAGAAAAGCAATGAAAGACACTGCGGATCTGAAGTGACCCGAGCTTGATTATGCCAGAAGGCAACCGTCCAAAAGATTCACGACCCAGCAAAACAAACATCGTCAAATCAAAAACCCTGGAAATACGGTTCTCCTATATAAGGCTTTGGAAAGCCACTGCCATAATTATAAATCAATTCCTTGCATCAACAGTTGCCTGGCAACCTTCGCATACAGTCATTTGTCCGTGTGAAGCGCTTGAACAACTCGCCATCAAACTCATGTGGACTGTCAACTATTCACCCGCGGGCACCGACTACACGAGTCGGTTTTGGACGTTTGGGTGAGAGGTGGTGAGGGCTCATCTCTATTTCAACCCAATTTCACCCAATTTCATCCAATTTCATGTTCATTTCCACAATCTTGGGGGGGTCTTTGCATGGCCAAGCCAGGCTTCCGCAATCAAAATTGATGCCACGCCACCTCTCCTTGGAGCTTTGGGACGGACCTTTGCGGATGGGTTCTCTTGGAATCAGACACGGCCTGCTGGTTTGCACACTAAATCTACTAATTTGTCTACTAATTTGTCTACTAATTTGTCTACTAAGTTGTCTAATCTTGACACATTTTCGCCATTTCTGCCCATTTGCATCCATTTGCATCCATTTGCATCCATTTGCATCCATTTGCATCCATTTGCATCCATTTGCATCCATTTGCAGTATACCGGATTTTGTAGTATGAAAGAGTATGAGACTGTTATGAGAAATTAGTGCACGTGCCCTGCACATGAAGCTGGATGTACGGACGGCAATGCCATCAGCCGGAACACGTCGAGACCCTTCGGACAGCAGCTTTTCTTTGGCCCACCAAGCAAATGCAACGCTTTTCTTTGGACCTTGAAAAGCAGTGGCAACCTGCACTCTCTGTCTCTCTCTGTCACCCTCTCCACTTTCCGACCGGAAATGTTTTATGCAAAGCCCAGCCATGTCCAAGCTAGCAGAGTTCACATCTTCACCAATAATACATCTAATATCCAATAATCATATTCAATTCCTTTCACATTCATTTGATTCATATATGTCATCTTCTGAGTCTCTCATGGGCAATGCGGCTTCAACTGAAGATCAAGAGAACCAGCTGGTTGACCCACTGTCTAGGCCGCATGCGCATCGTGGCTGAGGATGTGGCACTGCTTGTCCTGGCTGGAGATCCAAACGTGTGCCACCAAGAGCCATGTCAAAGGTGTCCCACGCAAACCACAGTAGGAGCCGCAAAGGAAAGAAAACCCAACTCACAAGTTCCCGATATCTGAAGCAGCTCTTTGGAAAACCAACACAAGTTAACTATCCAGAATTGGAACCTTCATCAAATCGTATTGCACCTGTAGGTCTTTTGTTGGAATGGCAACACCTGCAACTCGCTGAAAATTGTACATGTTGACTTGTACCAGGTGGAACCAGGTGGAACCAGGTGGAACCAGGTGGAAAGCCCTGTGACATCCCAGCTCGCCGCAGCCGGCGCCTGCGCTCTCGGCGCTTTCGCAGTTGCCGCTTCCGCTTCGGACGGAGCGGTCTGCGTGGCCGAAGCTTTGCGACACCAGGCCTAGGCGCTCTGCGGCTCTGCGGCGTGCACGAACTTCCGCTCCAAGCCGAGGGTCTTCGGGGAAGCCACGAAGCCCTCCAGCGGCAGCGCAGGCTCCACGATGCGCACGTCTTTGGCCGCCACGGACAGGTCCTGCACCGGTCCTCAGCTTTTGACGATTAACTCAGATAACCCATCGCAACACCGCACTAGGATCAACAATATGATGCCAAATGAGCGTAAAAGGGCCCTCTTGAGCTTGCATGTTGAGATGAAAGTCTAGGCCTGGCAATAGCCAGTAAGCTGCATCGGTTCCAAATATGTTCCAGTTTTTTTCTGCAACAAACCTGCACTTGCCTAGGATCCATGAGAAAGTGCTTTGCACCAGCAAGGATCATCGAGGTTTGGCATCCTTCTAGTGACCTATTTTAGCATTCTATTCAAGGTGGCTATATAAGGATGACAAATGGAGCCGTGGATTCGCAATGTGGCTTCGAATCCTCATCTATGTTGCTTCAATAAAAGGCCAGCCAAGTCCCAAGTGCTGCCTGAATAACGCATTCGCCTCACTTATGGCCAAGCTATTCCTGCTGAGAAATACTGCTTGGTGATTCATGGAGTTGTGACCAGGATGGATGATGCTAGTGACGCACAATCCTTGGGCTGCATCCTCGGCATCACTTGCCGGATAGGTCCGAACTGCATTGGAGCGGTCAAATCTGTGAGACTTTGGCGCTGCAAGCGTTGCAAGTAGAAGCAGCGTCCGACCTCCGCGCCATCCATCGGAACATGAGCTGGAATTGCAGTCTGCTAAACGACTGTGCAACAAGCGCTGGTTAGATGTCTGCGCCATCTGTTGGAAAAGGCCGATCCTGGAATCCAGCCCCCTTTCTGGGCAGCAACGTTGTCGGTTGAGGCATGGACGAACAGTGCGACATGTGTGTCCGCAGGCACCGGAGCCAAGGGACCCTTTTGCTTTCGGATCCGATCCGAAGGCCGAAGTCCGAAGTCCGAGCTATGCCGAGCTATGCCGAGCTATGCCGAGCTATGCCGAGCTGTCCGGCAGCTCGAAGCGCAGTGGCGCCAGAGCTGAAGCTGGGAAGGGGCGAAGGGGCGCCGTGCCGATGACACGCCACCAGGGCACAGCGGCCCCCGAAGACATCCACCAAATCCCCCACACGCGGTACAGCCGAGAGCTCAGTGCCACGGCTCAAAGCCAGCAACTGAGCTTCCAACGCCTCACATACCTCTGGTGCCAGCTCCTCGCTCTTACCCTTACCTCCCTTTCCTCCCTTTCCTCCCTTTCCTCCCTTTCCTCCCTTTCCGCCTTTGCCGTTGCCCCCTCTATCCGCCCTGTCCCAGGCATCTGGGAAAGCGTCCATCGACTCCGCGATCTCGCGAGCCGAAAATGGCTTCAGCCGAACTGAGATCGATGCACAGCAAAACGTCCACTCCCAGCCTCGAGACGAAGGCGGAAAGGTCGCCGCAGGCCGACCAGGCCACCGAGGCCTGGCGCCTCTTTCTGGAGCACCACCTGCCCCGCCCGTGCCGTGCGCACCAATTGCCGTCACATCTTCAGATTCCGTGCACACCTCGCCATTCTATCTTCTTCAGATTCAGAAGGATTCAGAAGAATTCCCGCAACCCTCCGGCCTCGCCAGAGCTGCTCAACAGAACCAGCTCCTGCACTGCGGGTACCACGTCCTCCGAGGCCAGCCGCCGTAAAGCCGCCACCCGCGCATCCAGCGTCATATGCCATCCCGGGCCAGACCACTCTCTTCAGGCGTCGGCTTGGCTTCAAAGACGTGAGCAAGACACAAAAGGGACAAGAGCAACAAGAGGACAAGTGCTTGTGGTCATTCAAAACCAACTCACATGAACCTGCAGTTTCAGGCTTCGCTTGGGGCGGCTGGCTGCTGTGAGGCTGCAGTGCCTGGCGTGGCCGTGTCAAGGCAGGCCTGGCTGCTTGGCTGAGTTATTTTTCTAACCTTCGCTAGACAGTCAGTTCGTTGCAAAAACCGGCTTGCAAGCACGGTTTGAAAAATCGGGTAGCAGGCAAGCCAATGCTGTGCCAGTCCGGCGGATGCCTCAAATGCGCCGGAGCCTCCCTGAGCGCCGTATCGCAGCGAGAACATCTCATTCTCCGCCACACCCACAGGAGATTCTGGCGGAGCCTGGAAGATTGCCGAGAGCAAAGGTTGCAGGTGCTGCTCTTGAAAGTCGTTGGGAAGAAGCAAAGCCAGGCGCCGCTGCAACTCATCTGCTTGCAGCATCTCGCAAAAGAAATGCTCTTCACCATCTTCCAACTCTATTTCAGCTCTGGGCTCCACATTCGTCTCATTAGTCTCATTCGTCTCTCTTTGCTTTGGCCGCCTCAGCTTCGGGCACGTGACCCTCGCGCGACGCGCAGTCCACTGCACCAAATTCTGTGATCGTGACTCAGGCAGCTAAGGCTAGACTTCAAAACTTGAATGTGCTCCCATGCTCCAGGGTGAACTCTGGCAATGTACAGGACAAAGGCTGATTCAAATACTCCAGCTTGGCATCGAATTAGCAATGCATCTCCGCAACTGGCAAGTCATTTGCATCCTCTCCGAAGGGCTGATCGATCTCTTGTGCGATGTAAAAAAAGGTCCAGTATGACGTGGACACGACAAAGACAATGCAAGACCACCATGGTCTGAGAACCATCTGCCTTGCAACGGAACGATAGGAGTAGGGGCCAATGGGCAACCAGCATGCAGGAGAGATACTGTGAGTAGGGGAAGGGAAAGGGCACATCTCGAATCTTCTGCATATTGGTGCCACTCACCATTCCTCGAGAGAGCTCTTGAAAAGCTCTGGATAAAATTGAGGCAGGTACTGCAAGCACTTGCCTTCTATCTGCATTGATAAGGAGGTGCTCAATCCACGGAGCTGTCTCACACATGGCAAGCTCAGCAAGCCAGGCACGGTAAAGACCACACTGGCACTGGATCAAACAAAATATGTCCGGGTAAGTGTTTTCATGTAGTGAACATGTAGTGCACTGGCGAATTTTGCAATGGCAAACGCATGTCTCTTCATTGTCTCTCGCCTGGCCTGTCAGGGCTGGTCTTGAGACAGACGCAGCAAGTGTTTTCTGCTGATGCCTCCGGCGTCAAGCCTTGCACATCGTCTGCAAGGACACTCAATGCAGCAAGCTCATCAGCCTGGCACCCGGGCCAAGCCTGGCCAAGCCTTCTTGCGACTTGGGGCTGTGGCAATACTTTCGCGCCTCACCAGGTAGCAGCGAAATTCGTAACTTGCTACGCCAAATCTCACCCATGACAAGCAATTGCCCGAGCCAGTGTCCCCAAGTCCTGCATGCCTTTCTCCGCGTTGCAGAAGCAAGTCAAATTGATACCCAAACACCGTGCCATGACCATGCGATGAGACTTCAATTCCACTCTGGACTCTGGTCAAGACTGTGTGGCAAAACACGCTCTCCCAGAAGAGCGAGTAGGCCTGGTTGCTGCGGAAGACGAGGAAGCCCAGCACAAAAGCATACATGTTGTCAATCCTCGCCCTTGGCAGCACCCCAAAAGTGATGCAACAGCACCGTTGCGAGGGCGCAGGGCAAAGATCACAGAAGCGCCTTGGGAATCACAGAGCCTCTGCGCATGAGCAAGACTTGCATGCCCCAGCGCCCATGGTGGTACTGAATCATCGCAGCGAGAGGAGAGGCGGTACTTTGTCTTCAAATAAGCCATAAAGCTTGGCTCAATTCGACTGATCAGCTGGCATCGGCTCAAACAGAATTCTATTGCTGGCGGTTTCCAAGATTCGGTCCAAGCTCTTTTCAGCTGCTGCCTCCCTTCGAGCAAGGCACTAAGACCGCCTCGATTTGAAAAGTGATGGTCGATAATGAAGACCCTCGTCCTTCTCCATAAGGAGATTGAAAGCAGAAAACAATGCCACAAAAGCCTCTGCGAAATGCTACGGGTGAGACACTCCATTCTTTATATTCTGGACACCTCGCATGCAAGGCTGCCAGAGAGAGCTTGGCTCAGGAGCAAAAGCTGCTGCTTTACCTCAGACTCTGGATGCTTCTCAAGGTGAAGGTCCAATTTCCGCGACAATTCCCCCAGGGACACCCAGTCTTTCAGGGCCCCTTGGCCACCGACACCGTAGCCATGGCTGCGATTTCTGCCGCTTCTGCTGCCATGGCTGACATGGCCGGAGCGGGCGTAGCCTGCCGGGCTCGCAGCGCTTGGAGCGCTCGCAGGGCTCGGGGGGCCCAGCATAGCCAATGTGTCGGAGCTCGCAGCTGCAGTCACTTCATTCATTTCGTTCATTTCGTTCATTTCAGTCGCACGGATCGAGCTGTCTTCGACGAGCGTGCAAAGAAGACGCCCCAATTCGCGCGTTTGCATGGGCAGCAACCGCTGGATCTTTGTCTGCAGAACGCTTGGCTCAAGTGGCTCCCACCAGGACTCTGCTGTCTCAGGCACAGACACCCGGTGCACTTCGTCCTTCTCTGAGTCCGAATCCTCGATGTCTGCAATGACACTCAGGCTGGAGTCCAGCACATTGATGGACATGATAGAGTCGAAGTTGTACCCGGGAACCGAGTATGACAATGGGTTGTGAAGAAACGAGAGCTTCTTGTTGAAGTCACGCTGCATATCTGCTACGGGCAAGTCGTTTGGATCCTCCCCAAACGGCTGGTCGATCTCTTGTGCGATATAAAACAAGGTGAAGTAGGATGTGCACACAACGAATACAATAATTCCAGCCCACCATGGTCGAAGAACCATCTGGCTTGCAATGATCGGACTGAGCAGCCAGTATGTGATGAGCATGAAAGAAAGGTACTGCGAATAGGGAAACGGGAATGGCACCTCGCGGATTTTGCGCATGTTGGTGACGCCCACCATTCCTCTGGACAGCTCTTGAAAGGCTCTGGAAAGGACCGGTGCTGGCACGTGCAGAACGCTGTTGCGATCAGCGTCCAGAATCATTCGCTCAATCCAAAGGAGGACCGTTTCGCACCTGCGGACTATGTGAAAGCGCCGCTCAAAACGAAGTAGCTAGCAGACTAGCATTTTCGAAGGGGAGGCGCATGGGAAGGGTTTGTCTTCGTCCTTGTCTTAGTGATGATTGTCATCACCACTGATGTTGGGTGATGGTTCGCGGCATCCGGATCATCATCATTATTCTGATTCATATTTCAAGTGCCGTGCAGGTGATGCGTAGTCATGATTGCTGCTGGCGATGCATAGTGATGATTATCATCAGGATGTTGATCCTGGTGATAATCATCACTACGCATCCCCACCATCACCAGCTGCACAGTACGGTTTGTGTGCCTGTTTCCTGTAACGCTACGGCGAACTCGCTGGCCCTTGCAAGTACTGCGGCTTCGGAGAACGATGACGGCGGCTACAGCTCCGCCGGCAGCTTGCAGACTAGCACTGCGTCCAGGCGGAGCAGCTCGCGCCCTTTCATATATGCTTCACGTGTGCCATTAGACCCGACTGGAAATGCAGAGGATGCGTAGTCATGGTTGACATGCTAACTGCTGATGATGCTGGGGATGCATGGAAATGATTATCATCAGGATGCTGCACGGTAACTGCTGATGATGCTGAGGATGCGTAGTGATGATTACATCAGGATCATCATCGTCATCATCATGAGCCGACTTGACATACCGAAAAATTCAAAGTAACGATTACCATCATGACTGCTGGCGATGCTGCGGATGCGTAGTGATGATTATAAGCGTCACTGGTGTTGAGTGATGATGATTCGCGGCATCCGGATCATCATCATTACCGTGGCGCTCTTCTTTTTCATATACATTTATATACGTTTCAAGTGCCGCTGGACCCGACTTGAAATGCAGAGGATGCGTGGTCATGATTGTCATGATAACTGCTGGGGATGCATGTGATGCATCAGGTTGTCACGGAAACTGCTGATGCTGAGGATGCGTAGTGATGAGTATCATCAGGACCATGACCATCATCATCAAGATCATTATCATCATCATCAACATCACACCGACTTGACATGCAGGGGATTCAAAGTAACGATTACCATCATGACTGCTGGCGATGCCGCGGATGCACAGTGATGATTATCATCATCACTGATCACTGATGTTGGGTGATGGTTCGTAGCGTCCGTGTCAAGAGATGGCAAGATGACGTCCCGTGGGACGCTGTCCACCGAACCCTCCAGCTGTGTGTACTCAACCACGTAGAAAGGTGTATACGGTCAAACCGTTATAGCCAAACCAGTGCAAATTGTTGTAAGGGGCAAAGACCAATAACCACGGTGGTAATCCTTGCAGCAGCAGCGTGAGTGAAGCTGTTTTCACTCTCTCAGGTCGATCACAGGCGAACGTAGTTCATGCAAGACCTTGAGCCCTACTTGTGACTTGAGCCAAAATGGCATTCAATGGAACATTCTAACCAACAAGAACATGGACCTCAGAACAGCTTCCCAATTTAGGCACGGGGCCAGGAGGGTTTTAACATCCCCCATTTGGGTCGCATCGTTCATCATGCGGCCCAAACATCATAACACGTTCCAATGGCCACGGCTCCGACTACGAAACTGTGTCGAACACTCTTTCATTCACTATTGCTACACCGTCCATTCGTTGTGAAACTTGCCGGGTTCAATTAAGACAGAAACATGCATCCGCAAATCGTAGCACATTCCCATACACAGATGCAACAGGCATTTTGCCTCGCACCATCACGCAACCATTGGAAATCCCGGCTGCCGCATTTGCGCATCGCGCAGCCGTCATCCATACAAATGGGTTGGCCATAGAAATCCATAGCAGCGCATGGTCATAAGCATCTGAATATCATTGGCAAAGAAGATTTGGCGAGCAATATATGCAAAATAGCCATTCCAGATACCACGAATAATATAAGGAAAAGAAATCATCCATGAGGTAATAGTGCCCATTCATGAATATCCGGAACGTCATTGCCGTCGGAATATGTAAATACATACACATCCATTCCCCTTGGACGCATGAAATTGTATCATGTCAAAAGAAATGTTCCATCGTAACGAAATCGATGAGACTAGCCCACATCATGCTGCAATCTACATCGAAGTGAATTTTGTGTGCTGCTGCTGATGGATGGGTCTGGCCCACACCATACCGCATAAGCAATGACAATCCACATCTGCATCACGTAGGTCGGTCCACAATGGACATCCTGTTGATGCGTCGACGGAACTCTTCGTCCAAATGTTGTTGGGCTTCTCGTGCCCGGACGCACTTCTTGTGATGCTCTTCTGAGAGCCAGTGTCCCTTTCGGAGACACCAATCCAGCAGGGGTGCGTCGCATTTGTTCGGGTCAGTGGCCGCAATAATGCCGCTCACGTTGACCGAATAACTATGTCTGCCAAGGTTCAAGCCTGCCCTTGTGAACGATATATATTTGCAGTTGAAAGCCAGGGAGAAGCATCTGTAAACAATATCACCCACCGGGTGTATGCGATCCTTGACCAGGAGCTTCATCTCGTCTTTGGTGATGTCGAGGATCTTCGCTGCAATCCACAGTTTGTAGAATATGTATAGCCCCTCGCATTTGGACACCAAATAACAGATGTATTGGTTGCGCTCCTCCATCGTCCGCAAGGTCCTGGTCCGAACGTTCTCAGATTGGCTAACCTTTTGTTCCGTTGATGGCATAAGGATCCCTTCCTGATCAACCTCAGTAATGTTGGGGTACTTCCCGGAGTCGTTGTGGTATGGGCAAGAGATGGTTCCTTCGACCGCGGCTTCGATCGTTCTCTTTTCTCCACCCTCGAACATCCCCCACATCTTTGACATCTGCAGCGCGATGAATCCCGCCATGTATTGAGCCTCGCGTGGCTCGTCCAGCCAGATCGCCATCCGCTAGGAAATAATAATATCCCGTGATGCCATGTCATTGTCGCGGTACTCCCAACCACCGTCTTCATCTTCGGACATGTAACCAGATGTGTATCCTTGCGTGTCCATGTCGTCGTCTTCGGAATCGTTTTCCGTCCCATCACCCTTTTCCTGCGCCGCCGCGTTGTCGTTAGCCTCATCTTGCGCTCGCCTGGCGTCACCTGACACTTTGGGTCTATGGTCGTCCCCTTCGTCATCGGAACTGATGTGGATGCAGAATCTCCCGGTAGAGATTAATTGCGCCTCACATTCCAGGCATACACAGAAGCACGTGGGAATCGCGGTTGCACATGACGGACAAATTCGGCATCTTAGCCCCTCCCATGTCTCGTCGTTCAGGATGATGGTCTTGCTGATCTCGTCCCTGATCTCGTTGGTCAGAGCATCAAACTCTTCTAGTTTGTTTTCCCGAAACAGTTCGCAGGCACGGTCCACCATGTCTTGAACACAGTGCAGATTGTCGGCACCTGCCTCTGTCTCAGGCATTCCCTCGATGATCTTTGCGACGTTCTGAAGGAACATCGCGGCCGACTCCTGGGAAGAACCAACGAAGCCCGGACAGATCTCATTCTCAACACATTTTGAGTACGCCCGCTTGACGCTCTCGTACTCCAGGCATTTCCCTCCGTTGCTTTTGCCAATCCAAATGGACTTGACCTCATAGAACGGGATCACGTCAAAGACCATAAAAGTCCCGTTGCCAGCTCCGTATCGCGCGAGGGTCGCACTGGGAATGTAGATGATTGCAATCGGATCTCCAGTCCTCAAATTTCGTAGCGTCGTCCTCGTTGCTACGTTCATCTTATCCCATGGGGCAAACGCCCCGAAGTGCAATGCCAGCCTGTTTCCGCCATCAATTCCGCCGGGGACTAGCCCACAGCGTACAATGCCTGGCAGGTTCTCCACGTATGTCACATGGAATGCTCCTCCGAGAGAATCACCCATCCTTGCAGAATACCTATTTGCCAGTGCGGATGAGCTCATGAAGCCAAAGTCACTGTGACCAGTTGTGACTCGGATGCACCAAGGCCTGTACCATCCATCGCATCTGTTGAATATCATTTCGATGTCACCCCGATCCAGGCCCATGTAGTTCAACTTGTCTGGCGGCCTTCGTGTCATTCGGGTTCATGACGCTTGGAAACCTTGCTGCCAGGATCTGGAACCTCGATTTCTTGTACCCAGATTCCTGCCACTTGATCACTTCCATGATGGCCATGTAGCGTCTTGCTTTCGAAGTTGTCGGTGGGAATATGTCGTTATTCCGGTCGCTGATGACCGCGTCAATGTCAACCCATCCACCTTCATCACATCTGAAAGCACTTCCTCGGCAATTGCCGATCTTGTGTCGAAGGACTCTGCATAGATCGTGAGATAGCTGACTTGAGATAGCTGATTTGCTTGATCTTTCGATGTAAACACTGAGCGATCGTCGCCGATCCTGCAGTGCGGAGCGCCGTCGAAGGGAGCGATGCAGAAATTGATACTCTTGCCAAGCTGTATCACATCGACCTGCTCCAGGACGGCACTCTTGGGGAAGAACCTGGGATCTACCATAGACGTATACGCCCATGGCATGTACGGATTGTAGGTGAGGTCCACGCCACCGCATTGTAGCTCTCCCCCTTCAGCCGTGTCAGCCATCTCCACCAGATTGATGGTATAGCTATACATCTCTATTATTTCTTTCCTTTTCTGTCCCCCTTTCTTGCGTTCCTTGGATGTCGATGATGACGGTTCTTCAGCATCCCCCATTTCTTCATCCGAGGAAACGTGATCGCTGCTGAGAAGCTCACGGATCTTCTTCATCGCCTTCTCGTTTCCAGCAGCCTCCTCATGTTTCTTGCAGTCGCCGTCGTGGGCCAGGTTCGCGCACTTTGTACAAATTCCCATTTCTCCCATGCACTTCTCCATTGAGTCCAGGAACTTGAGTGCAGCTTTTCGCCCATCAATCACGCGCTGCTTCTTCTCCTCTTTCTCCTCATTGGGCTGAGAGCTTCGGCTCTGGTCTGGCTCTGGACCAAGAATCGCCTTCACTCTCAGTTGCCTTCCTCTTGGACCCTTGGTTGGCCTGCTCGGTCAC